CATCATTATCATTTAGTCGTCTAATGGAGCACTCCCCAACATCATTATCATTTAGTCATCTAATGGAGCACTCCCCAACATCATTATCATTTAGTCGTATAATGAAGCACTCCCAAACATCATTATCATTTAGAGGTCTAAAGGAGCACACTCCCCAACACCGTTATCATTTAATCGTCTAATGGAGCACTCCACACCATCATTATCATTTAGTCGTCTAATGGAGCACACTCCCCAACATTATTATCATTTAATCGTCTAATGGAGCACACTCCCAAACATCATTATCATTTAGTCGTCTAATGGAGCACTCCCAAACATCATTATCATTTAGTCGTCTAATGGAGCACTCATAAACATCATTATCATTTAGACGTCTAATGGAGCACTCCACACCATCATTATCATTTAGTAGTCTAATGGAGCACTCCACCCAATCATTATCATTTAGTCGTCTATGGAGCACTCCCGAACATCATTATCATTTAGTCGTCTAATGGAGAACTCCACACCATCATTATCATTTAGTCGTCTAATGGAGCTCTCCACTCCAACATTATCATTTAGTAGTCTAATGGAGCACTCCCAAACATCATTATCATTTAGACGTCTAATGGAGCACTCCACACCATCAATATCATTTAGTCGTCTAATGGAGCACTCCCAAACATCATTATCATTTAGTCGTCTAATGGAGCGCTCCCCAACATCATTATCATTTAGTCGTCTAATGGAGCACTCCACACCATCATTATCATTTAGTAGTCTAATGGAGCACTCCACACAATCATTATCATTTAGTCGTCTAATGGAGCACTCCCCAACATCATTATCATTTAGTCGTCTAATGGAGCACTCCCCAACATCATTATCATTTAGACGTCTAATGGAGCACTCCCCAACATCATTATCATTTAGACGTCTAATGGAGCACTCCGCAACATCATTATCATTTAATCGTCTAATGGAGCACTCCCCACAATCATTATCACTTAGTCATCTAATGGAGGACACTCCCCAACATCATTATCATTTAGTCGTCTAATGGAGCACTCCGCAACACCATTATCATTTAGTCGTCTAATGGAGCACTCCACACCATCATTATCATTTAGTCGTCTAATGGAGCACACTCCCCAACATCATTATCATTTAATCGTCTAATGGAGGACACTCCCTAACATTATTATCATTTTGACATCTAATGGAGCACACTCCCCAACATCACTATCATTTAATCGTCTAATGGAGCACTCCACACCATCACTATCATTTAGTCGTCTAATGGAGCACAATCCCCAACATCATTATCATTTAATCGTCTAATGGAGGAAACTCCCTAACATTATTATCATTTTGACATCTAAAGGAGCACTCCCAAACATCATTATCATTTAGTCGCCTAATGGAGCACACTCCCAAACATCATTATCATTTAGCCGTCTAATGGAGCACTCCCAAGCATCATTATCATTTAGTCGTCTAAAGGAGCACTCCCCAACATCATTATCATTTAGTCGTGTAATGGAGCACTCCCAAACATCATTATCATTTAGACGTCTAAAGGAGCACACTCCCCAACACCATTATCATTTAATCGTCTAATGGAGCACTCCATACCATCATTATCATTTAGTCGTCTAATGAAGCACTCCCCAACATCATTATCATTTAGACGTCTAACGGAGCACTCCCCAACATGTCGTCTAATGGAGCACTCCCCAACATCATTATCATTTAGTCGTATAATGAAGCACTCCAAAACACCATTATCATTTAGACGTCTAAAGGAGCACACTCCCCAACACCATTATCATTTAATCGTCTAATGGAGCACTCCCCACCATCATTATCATTTAGTCGTCTAATGAAGCACACTCCCCACCATCATTATCATTTAATCGTCTAATGGAGGACACTCCCTAACGTTATTATCATTTTGACATCTAATGGAGCACACTCCCCAACATCACTATCATTTAGTCGTCTAATGAAGCACTCCCCAACATCATTATCATTTAGACGTCTAATGGAGCACACTCCCCAACATCACTATCATTTAATCGTCCAACATTATTATCATTTAGTCGTCTAATGGAGCACCCCCCACCATCATTATCATTTAGTCGTCTAATGGAGGACACTCCTCTAATGAAGCACTCCCCAACATCATTATCATTTAGACGTCTAATGGAGCACTCCCCAACATCATTATCATTTAGTCGTCGAACGGAGCACTCCCCAACATGTCGTCTAATGGAGCACTCCCCAACATCATTATTATTTAGTCGTCTAATGGAGCACACTCCCCAACATTATTCTCATTTAGGCGTCTAATGGAGCACTCCACACCATCACTATCATTTAGTCGTCTAATGGAGCACTCTCCCCAACATTATTATCATTTAATCGTCTAATGGAGCACTCCCCACCATCATTATCATTTAGTCGTCTAATGGCGCACTCCACACCATCATTATCATTTAGTCGTATAATGGAGCACTCCCAAACATCATTAGCATTTAGTCGTATAATGAAGCACTCCAAAACACCATTATCATTTAGACGTCTAAAGGAGCACACTCCCCAACATCATTATCATTTAGTCGTCTAACGGAGCACTCCCCAACATGTCGTCTAATGGAGCACTCCTCATAACTGAATACGACACAACTACAATAATCGTGTCACAGTTTTTGTTAACACAGAAATAAAATAATCAGATATGACAATGTCATTAGCACCATCTTTTCTTGATTTAGATGTTTTATATGTAAAATATCTAAAATGAAATAAGCTTATATGTATGTAATGAACGGGTTAACCTACATCAATCCTTCACTTCATACGAGTTATCTCTCTTACATCGATATCCTTATCATATTCAGGTTACAATGTGGCATGCATAGGGTAACGTCCTATCAACAGCTGAGGTCATTTAAGGACATGCCTCCATGTGTGTTGTGCATGCGTGGATGTTTGTATGTGCGCCGGAGTCAGGTATGTTGGGGTAATTGCCTCCTTATGGTAGCGCAGATCTGACGCCAGTTTTATAGCGCTATCTCAATGAAATTGCGCCTGGTCACATTATACTGACAACGGGTGAACCAGTTGTTGCCATTTCCTGAATTGCTGAACGTTACGCAGTGAATGCTCCGCCAGTGTTTAGGATTTTGGTATGTCCCGACAAAGGGACAGATTTTGGTATAATCCCGACAAAGGGACAGATTTTGGTATGTCCCGACAAAGGGACAGATTTTGGTATAATCCCGACAAAGGGACAGATTTTGGTATGTCCCGACAAAGGGACAGAATCCATTGCCTTCCTTACCTTGGCGAACGCTCAACATTAAAGCAAAATGAATAGTGAGGCGTCGCCAACCAAGGCACTAGGAAACAAAACATGAAGAGGACACACATTCCCACGTTAGTCGCCTCTAACGCCCCAGTAGTGGGTTATAACAGGTCTACTGTTAACGATCCCCGACCTGCATACATTATGTAGGTCTCTATATTTTCTACATCTCCTTCATTTATATCAATATGTAGGAATAGATTCTTTGATAAAACATGTATCATTCATAAATAATGGGATAATTTCTGTTATCTGTACTCTATCTTCACCCTACTATCTTTCATTTGTGCCATTGCCAACAAAATTTTATGAATATATAAGAACATACCTGGTCACCATGTTTAGCACTCGTTCATCCCACGACAGTTCCATGTGTTAATATCATAACGAGGAAGTGTCACTATACGGAAATACACACCAAGTTTTATCTCCGGAACAAATGGACAGGAAGTAACGATAATCTCAGAAGCACCCCAACTAATCACAGAGGAATAAATGTTCCTTTTCCTTGTATCAACTCAGCACCAAATATACAAGAACGGCTCCGGGCGGAATATAAAATCATTTTTATTAGACGACATTTGATTTCTGATATAACACATTACAATACATAGATGAAGATGTGTAGCGGAACTGGACTGGGTCGATCGTCGGCGACCAAATAGCTCAATTGGTAGAGCATCCGTCTAGAGTTAGGAAGGTCCCGGGTTCGAACCCCGGTCTGTCCGTGCATTTTTCTTCTTCTGTTACAGATGTACAATATAAAAAAAAGAAATTAGTACAAGCAATGTTTAATGAGGATATCGCTTACCTTGCCTTTTCAAGTACTAACTACTTGTCATATGCCACCTCATTAATACCTCCACATATGTGAGTGTTTGTGTGTGTTTGAGGCGTATTGTCGTTCTTTTATTGTATTAAAACGATGTTTCCAACGACATCTCTTATCCAAAGTGTCACCTCACTGGAATATTGGAGTATAGACACTGTATCACCTACCCCAGACCTTTCCTATAACTCACCCGATTAAATGGAGAAGTGTGGGTAGGGTTGTTATTATTTGTGTCTTTGCAACAGCTAAGGACGTACGAAAACAGGGGCCAATAGAGACACATATTCTATATTGTGTTATACCAATTCTGAGCTAAAATTATACTGACTCATGGTCACATATTATATTAACTCCGAACCAAATATTATGCCTAAGTTGGGTCACATACTATACTTACTCTGAACCAAACATTATACCAACGCTGGGTCACATATTATACCTCCTCTGGACCAAACATTATACCGACGGTGGGCCACATATTATACTAACTCTGGACCAAACATTATACCGACGCTGGGTCACATATTATACTTTCTCTGAACCAAACACTATACCGACGCTGGGTCACATATTATACTAAATCTGGACCTAACATTATACCGACGCTGGGTCACATATTATACTTACTCTAAACCAAAAATTATACCGACACTGGGTCACATATTATACTCACTCTGAACCAAACATTATACCGACACTGGGTCACATATTATATCAACTCTGAACCAAACACTATACCGACGCTGGGTCACATATTATACTTTCTCTGAACCAAACATTATACCGACGCTGGGTCACATATTATACTTACTCCGAACAAAACACTATACCGATGCTGGGTCACATATTATACTTACTCCAAAAAAAAACACTATACCGACGCTGGGGCATTTATTATACTAACTCTGAACCAAACATTTTACCGACGCTGGGTCACATAATATACTTACTCTGAACCAAACATTATACCGACGCTGGGTCACATATTATCCTTACTCTGAACCAAATATTATACCGACGCTTGGTCACATGTTATACTTACTCTGAACATTTTTTTTTACCGACGCTGGGTCACATATTATACTAACTCTGAACCAAACATTATACCGACGCTGGGTCACATATTATACTAACTCTGAACCAAACACTATACACGTACCGACGCTGGGTCATATATTATACTTACTCCAAAAAACCCACTATACCGACGCTGGGTCATTTATTATACTAACTCTGAACCAAACATTTTACCGACGCTGGGTCACATAGTATACTAACTCTGAACCAAACACTAAACACGTACCGACGCTGGGTCACATATTATACTTACTCCAAAAAACCCACTATACCGACGCTGGGTCATTTATTATACTAAATCTGAACCAAACATTTTACCGACGCTGGGTCACATAGTATACTAACTCTGAACCAAACATTATACCGACGCTGGGTCACATATTAACCTTACTCTGAACCAAACATTATACCGACGCTGGGTCACATATTAACCTTACTCTGAACCAAACATTATACCGACGCTGGGTCACATATTATACTAACTCTGAACCAAACACTATACCGACGGGGGGTCACATGCTATACTCACTCTGAACCAAACATTATACCGACACTGGGTCACATATTATACTAACTCTGAACCAAACACTATACCGACGGTGGGTCACATGCTATACTCACTCTGAACCAAACATTATACCGACACTGGGTCACATATTATACCAACTCTGAACCAAACATTATACCGACGCTGGGTCACATATTATCCTTACTCTGAACCAAACATTATACCGACGCTGGGTCACATATTAAATCAACTCTGAACCAAACACTATACCGACGCTGGGTCACATATTATACTTTCTCTGAACCAAATGTGAGGGAAAATGGATGAAAATGGTGAAAATACATGATTTTTAAAGAAAATTCTCAGGGTGGGGGGATTTCCTGAAGCCCAGAAAAACCCTCTGGATCCGCCACTTAATTCATACCGAGTTCGAGCATCACATTATACTGACACGGGTCATACATTTTTCTGGCTTCAGAGCTAATACCTTACCTACCACTCATTAAAAATGACCAAATACAAACATACTGACACTCAGCCAAAAGTTAAAGATGTACCGACTCTAGTCTACACATTATTCCGACACCTATCATATACATGTTCTAGCGTACGACCCTTGCGTACTTAACAAGCTGATTGAAGTTTAAAAGTACATCTAATGTTATGTAAAACCGTGGGCTCAAAATAATCACTCATGTATATCTCTAAATGTGATATAGAGAATGTATAAACAGCACGACTTAAGGACATCGAATTTAGATTTACCTGATAGTTTAATTAATCAAATTAACCGGTACACAAGCTAAACAAAGACTGCCTGTGCTTCCTGACTTCTAGAAAAACACAAACAACGCGAATTATTTAATTAACAATGAACAGAGATAATATACAGTATAAGATTGAAATCAGCCAATTTTTTCAGCATTTACCGATAATCTATTTATAGCTTGGTTCTTTCTGGTTGACGGACACAGAAATGCTTGTGTTTTAGTGAATGACGGCCTCCAGAAGTGAAGATCTCGAACCACACACGTTTCTGTTTGGAAAAAGTGTGTGGAATTTGAATATTTATTATCCAGAGGTTTAGAAAGATTTACAGAACATGACTTGTCATGTAAGATAAATTCTTCCCTTAATTTCGGAGTCGTTTGGAATAACTTTCCGGTAATTGTCACGAATGAGTATGTAGCGAAACAGGACTGGTTCGATCGTCGGCGACCATGACGCTCAATTGTAAAGCGAATATCGAAGCTCAATTTCCGAGTCCGGGTTTCGGAGTTGGGATTGTGTTTTGATTTACAAAGAAAGCGACGCCTGTGTCCTATGCACCATTGTGTCAGTTATCATTCTACAACTTGTTAACGGTTATAATTGCTTGTAAACATGTATGGATTTCAAAACGGTGTCCGTTATTCCCACTAATTTTTCCCACAATTATAAGCATAAACAATGTATACTCAAATAACAAACGTATTCACTAAAGCCAATCAGGAACCGTCGGCACCCGATAAGCTTGTTCGGGAACCTTCGGCAGGGGGGCGAGGTGGCCAAGTGGTCAAGGAGTCTGACATTCTGTTACCACTAGCCCTCCACCACTGGGTCGCGGGTTCGAGACCTACGTGAGCCAGTCACAAGGTATTGATCGCAGGTCTGTGGTTTTTCTCCGGGAACTCCGGTTTTACTCCACCACCAAAACCTGGCACGTCCTGAAATGACCATAGTAACTGTTAATCAACAAACAAACCAAAAGAACCGTCGGCACTTTCCGTAAACGAGAATATTTCCGGTATACGGAAAGTGCCGACGGTTTCCGAGTGCACTCGTACTATTGGAAAACAAGTTCAACGAGAAAACACCTTCCAAAGGTTATTTGGTTTAAACAATATTTTTCTTTGAAATGAGTAGCAAGAGTTTACAACAATTAAAAAAAGGATTTAAAACAGGGTATAAACTTACACAAATCAATCAAGATATTTGATATCAGACACGTACGGTATATACAGGCCCTGCAAAAACAGGGGTATTGGATGACGACTTAATAAGAAGTTTAAAATCATTACAATTTTAAAAAAAGACAAGCAAAATTCTAATTGTTGTACGGTTATCTGAACGATCGCACCCACCGACAAATTAAATCTTCAAATGTTTTTAACTGAAACTCATAACCTGGTTAGCTTAATCACGCACTCTTACGCAAGTATGTTTTGATTAAGCTACGAATGAAGTTAAAAAATCTTTGCACAATTAAGCACTCCCTGTACCAGTAAGCTTATCTATGAATAAGTAAAATTTTGCCATCTCCTGGTAAAACTTTAACTATTTTTTATTATTGATATTTATTGCTAAAAGTTACACATGTCAGAATATTGGTCTTCACAAAATTGTAATATACTATAGTTGACTATAGATAAAAGATCAATAACATAAAAAACATAAAATATTGAATTTCATATTAGCTTACCTTGATACATTGCGTTTATTATAAAACATATTGATATCCATAAGAAAAAATTGCTTATTTTAGAATATTTATATAATATAGTTAAAACAACATGCACTTAGATTCAAAAGAAGCATTTTTTTAAATTATTAAGAAAAGCTATGAGTCGAGGATAAGACATTGATGGAAAATGTTTATTTTTTTTCAGGAAAAGTTGAAGCTGACTGAGCTATTATGTAGGTAATGAACAGGTCGACTTTCTCACAACATTACAGGCTGTAACCGACACGTTACACTATAATCGACATGGTAGGTTGGCCTCGTTCACAGGTCGATTTCATTGTAAAATACATTTTACTCTGACAAAGAAAATTAGGGAGAATATCGGACCAAATTTCTTCAGATCGTCACATAAATTATAAGACGTCAGGTTTATTCAGTGATATTCTAGTCCGTTGTATACCTGTAATAATACCATTACCTCGACCCTACCCGTCGTCAATGGATATTATTCCATATTGTCATTGTTGACATTTTACACGG